CTTTGACCTGTTGTTTCAAAATTCTTTGCAGCAATGGAAAGCAACAAAAGAAATAATAATCAACCAACAAAGGCCTTGACATGACCCAACAATCTATCAAGATCAAAGAATCTACACAAATATTAGGCTATAACAGCAATCATTTCTGCATCATTTATTAAACTCTCATATTGACTCGCTCGGCATAAAACCCCACACACAGTTGTTATTTAATAAATAGCACAATGTTGTTAAAATTTTTACAAATCATCATACTACTTATCCTATTTCGCAAATAAGGGAAACTAACCTCAAACTTATATAGGTATCTTGTATTCATATTAATACTGTTAGGATATCAATTGAACTTTAATATTACTACGAAAGTTTATCATAAAACTTAATATGTGGTGATGATTGGATTTCATAACAAGCTCTACCAGTAATCAGGAGTTCCATAAGAAATCTTAAAAATGCTATCAGACGATAGAAATTAGAAGATATTGTAAGATTAATTATCTTCATTGTAAAATGGGTTAAATTTTATCCTTATTTGCAACACCTTGAACTTGTCATCTTTTGTCCCATAAATAATAATTGTTCAAGTTTTTTGATATTTAAGCTTTAAAATTCTTTCCAAGTAGAAAATGTTAACCAAGCACCAAAAGAATATTGTAAATAATTTATGAATAAATGTCTAAACTTGTCGCATGCATACTATTGAGCTAATTTAATGTTGGCTATTATCTATTCCATCTTTATTATAATTTATGCTATTTTTTTTTTCAACTCTAGTTTGTAATCCTAAATCTCTTCTTTGTGTTTAGACTCATACACTTCTTCCATAGAAGTCTACTTTTGATCTAATGTGTTTTCTCATTTTGCGTCTTTATTTCTCTAACTCTTAATGCCCTTACCCTGTTACCCTTGTCAATTTTTTTTCATAATAAAACTATGCCACTTTATGTGCTTGAAATATTATTGCATACCTCTTTAGTAAAGATAAGATTCTTGTTTCAGTGCCCAGCGCTTAAAGGTAATGAACTTGACTAGGAAGTACCTTAATTATGATGCTCATTTACGAGCTGTACGGTATATTCACACACATACACTTATGTGTGAAACTGACGCAAGCCAATAATGTTAGGCAAAAGCTAATCTAAGTTTGTGCAAGGGCTGAATACTCATTATAAATGCAAAACATACATGATGAACACATAGAAGAGAGCAATAAGCATTTTTGGTATTCAAATGTTGTTTCATTCTAGACCCTTCCACTTGTGTCACTGTTTGCTATATGTGAACTTAGATTATCAGTGGGCCTAGAGTGAAAGATTTTGGAGTCATGAGTCATGAATTGAACTCTTGTTTGTGGGCTTCTATGTATGTAAAAATAAATCTTCACTGGCTCTTTAAATTAATGCAATCCATAGCTAGTTATATTCTCTTTTACAAGTAATTGACCTTTTGTGTAACTGTCATTGTGCCATGTTTTGAACTAATAAAATATTTGAGATTGGTTTTTATTTAAAAAAATGTCCCCAAAATTCTTTACTTTGGTAACCCATGCTAGTCATCAAATTTCTTTTATCTCCACTTTGTTCTATAGCTGCCAATTTGCAGGATTCGCTGCTTACAAAACTTTTATTGCTATGTGAACAGCTCCGGCATATTCGGGGCTTCCATGAAATACTTCTTGTTTATATCCATCGGAGATGACAAATACTTTATTTCTGCTTTCCTTATAATTGATAAAAAATCGAAGTAAAAAACTCTTATGTATCACTGCTATAGATTTCAGTTTCATTCTAGTGAAAGAAAAAAGAAATTCTTTTTTAGAGTCGCACTAGTAGAAACAACAGCCTTCGTCCCTATTTAACAATGAATGTGCTAAGTACTAAATATTTTGATCAACAAAACCAATTTCTGTAAGAGTGACGCTTCACCTTATGACCGCTTTAGTCCCACAAAATTTCATGCTTATGTGGTGGACAATGAATGGTTCATGCTACACATAAACATGCAGGCCACACAAGCATGCATGACAGAGAGAGGATTATAGGAACATTACTTTTTACTTGAAAGAAAGAGCGGCTATGACTTCACGTGCACACACTCCACCGATTTCTTGCAATTTTTATTTAAATCATAGTCACTGCTAGACTTTTTCATTTTAAAGTTGTCAGATATCATATTAGTATTTTAAATATTTTTAATGACCAATGGCCTTGATTCATGGTGATATGTTTGAATGCCACAATTAGTGAAGTAATCCCTTTGTGAGACTTTATTTATTAGTTAACAACTTTTATGCCTCAAAATAAATTCTCTCTGTTATGCAGAAATTCTTATATACATAAGATTTACATTTCTTTTATTCTCCATTTTCTTTTGTATACAATGTGACACAGCAAATTGCATTATATATAGGATTATCCCTGGAGCCATTGATAGGGGCGCTATCAGCTGGGAATTCTGTAGTTCTAAAGCCCTCAGAATTAGCTCCCGCTTCATCCAAATTTCTAGCAGAGAACTTGCCTAAATATTTGGACAACAAGGCTGTGGCTGTTATTGAAGGTGGTCCTCTCATAGGGCAGCAACTATTGGAACATAAGTGGGATAAAATCTTCTTTACAGGTAAACTTCAACGATCATATTTGCTGTGAGTTTGACTCAAATATCAAATATTGCTTAAAATTGAATTGATTATTTTTGTTGAGATCAAGCTTGGATTGAAATTAACAATCTATCGAGTCAATGCCTGTTCAAATTGAACTTGTTTTGAGTCAAACCATTAACATATTGAATTATCTTAGGGGCAAATTCTTTATGCATATTGGTGTACTGTAAGCGCCAAAAGCAACTCTTTTTGGGTGCCAAATAGATCATTTAAATTAACTTTGGAAAAGAATGAATAGCTCAAAAAAACCTTTCATTCATTGATGACCGGTTTATATAGAGCCTTACAAGTTACACATTTACAAATAAATCCCTAGACTTCATTTATTTATAAATAAGACACTACATTAGATACAAATCTCAAAACTCACCCTCAAAATGGGCAAAAGATATTCACTAAATAAGTCTGTCTCATTTTCTATCATGACCTTCAACTTTTTAAACACTTCAAACACATAGGATTTATGCTTTAAGAAGTAAATTTATACCTTTTTAGTGTGATTGTCCATAAAAGTGATAAAGTAGTGAACTAGAGCATGACCCCATACATCAGTATACAACAACTGTAACTTTTTTTACTTCACTGTTGACTCACCTTTGGAGAAAAAATTTACTTTTGTTTGTCATATACACAAACATCATAGAACTCTAAATTCACAAATTTCAGATCCAGCTTCACTGTCGCCACTATTCTCTCCCTCGCCTTGTTGTTTTGCCCTCTGTCCAGCCATCTGTATCACTGTCGCCATCCAGAAAACAGCACACCTGCGGCGGGGAGCGTTGATGGTGTTTGGTGAAGGTGAAAGGTGGTAGAAAAGGGTGGTTTCACAAGCATGGGGAAAGGGGAGGAGTGGCTGGAAAGGCGAACAGCAGCGGACGGCTGTCCTGGGGCGTTGGGAAGTAGTATAAGTGCCATTGGAGTGGTTTTCGGGGTGTGGCAACGAATAGAGGGTGGCGGTACAGCAAGAAAATAGTAGGTGTGTTATTTTCTGGATGGCAATAGTGATATAGATGGCTGGACAGAGGGCAAAACAACAAGGCGAGGGAGAGAACAGTGGCGACAGTGAAGCTGGAGGGCTGGAACTGTGGTGGCAGCTAAGAGGAGGGAGGGGAATGCGATGGCGGTGGCTGGAACTACAAAAATCAGGAATCAGAATGTTGTTACAGGCCGCTGCAACGAGATATGGTGGTCGGGAGCGACACGGGGAGGACGTGGAAGGGGATAGGAGAGATAATCATCACCTCGGGGGGAAAGATACAGCTGGTGCATTACCCAAATTCTCGAATACAATACTCTAAGGGAGAAAAAAGAGGCCAGCGGCTGTCCTAAACAAACAAAAAAAACTGACTTAAAAAAAAAAATGAAAATAATTATGTAAATTATTTTTTCATGAAAATAATTATGTAAATTAAATTAAATTTTGAAAAATCACATTTTCTCCTCTGATATCTTAATTGACCCATGAATAAGATAGGATAAAAATATAGGATAAAAATGGATAAAAATTTCAAAAGTCATTTGAATCGAATACAATACTCTGAGGACAAAAAAAATATAGCATATTTATAGACTTAAGGGTAAATAGGAGTCGACCTCACTCCAGATAGGAGGGAAATTCATATAAGGGTCAACCGACCCTCTTGGACAGGTCTAAGCTGCACTCGCCCTCGGGAATTCATGATATATTGTAGCATGGATCACAAAAAAGCCCCTTGCCGGAAGCTTTGCATCACTAACTAATTTATTATAATTTCATATCTTGTTTATTACATCCTAGTCTCGTCAATCATGCTTATTTAGTTGTCAATCTTGCCACACCTTTGCCTTTGGTTGTAGTCCATGTGAGCTCATCACCGATCTTATCTATCACGTTCTCAAGAAATCATTATAAGCTTCAGTTCTATAATCATCAGCCATTTCACCATTCTTCAATGATTGGCTCTCTGGTATTATCTTTTGTCAAATCCTATGCTGCATCACAAATCTGTTTATGTTGACCCTCTATCAATACCCCCTATCAAATACTCACTTTTCTGACGCCTTTTGTTGGTGCCTCAATCGATAATTTAGTGTATGCCTTTTGTCAATCCCTTGATCTGTGTCTGAAGTATAACTTAGCTCTTATGGGTCTCTATTCATACTTTATTTGAGGATAAAGATCTGTTTATCCTCCGTTTGAGGATCTATATTGGACTCTCTCTCATGAATGCCATGCCATGATTATTGGTTGCTCTCCTCTAGTTATACTCACAACCTCTAGGTAACTAACCTTCAACTACTATGTCCTAGGTCAATATTTTTAAACTCGAGTTGGCATCATCTATGCCTCGAGTTTCTAATGGATCATCATATCCATATCACTTGTGTTGACTGATGTCTCGTAGGATTCTTTTCTTTTCATCATCATGATATTCTCTCAATATTGAATATATTCTTCTTTATTATATTTTTGTATTGTTTAGATATGGTACATATATACTTATTTTAACACTCTAATAAAATAGAGAATAATTTCTCTCATCCTCTCTTTTTCAACACATATAATTGTATGGTGTTATTACTTGTGAGTGGCTTGTGATAATTGGACTTGCAATTGAACCTTATCGGGCACTTAATTGCATAGTCCACTAACATTTAACATATTGCATCGCTTAGCTTTTTTTCTTTTTTGTTTTTCCAGCATTCCCTTCTTTTTTTATTAGCCTACACACTGACATCCATCCATTTCTTATGTTTTTGGCTTCCTTTTTTCAGGGAGCAGCAAAATTGGACGTATAATAATGACAGCTGCTGCAAAGCACCTAACTCCAGTTTGTCTTGAACTGGGGGGTAAATGCCCTGCTATTATAGACTCTCTTTCGATATCAGGAGATATAAAGGTTTGCAACTTTGAATATTCTGTAACACTACTAATCTTAATCTACAATTATTTATGTATAAAGTCCGTCATAAGACGTAGCCAAGCGGAAATCAGTTGCCTGCGTTGTGCTGCTCAATTACACAAATATTTTATTTTCTAAAGTCATTCGAGTATATTACAACATAACCATTTTACCTTCTTCTGGTCGTGTTTACTTTTCTCTAGGTAGCCATCAACAGAATAGCTGGAGCAAAGTGGGGATTTTGCAGTGGTCAAGCTTGTATAGCCATTGATTATTTGATTGTAGAAGAGAAATATGCTCCTTCTCTGGTATTATTTTTTTAATCGCATTTCCTCTTTAATAGAAATGTGTGAAAAACTAGATGGACTGATGGCAAATGAACTTTTCCTTTTCCTGCTTCATTTTATTGTAGGTTGACTTGTTAAGAAAAAAGATAAAAAGTTGCTACATGAGACAGGGAGATCTCACAAGGATTGTCAATAAACAGCATTTTCAAAGATTAAGGAAATTTATTGAGGATCCAGTGGTTGCAAATACTGTAGTTTATGGGGGTTCCTTTGATCAGGAAAACTTGTAAATTCTAATGCTTTACCTTTTTCAAACACTTTTTTAAATTTACTTATGGATTCATTAATTAAGCTAGTTTTATTGCAATAATTTCAGATATATTGAGCCAACCATATTGTTAGATCCACCTTTAGATTCTGAGATCATGAATGAGGAAATTTTTGGCCCATTGCTTCCAATAATTACAGTAAGTTTCAAAATTTTTTGCACCGTTTCAATGGGATCGGTCAAAGTATAAACGTCACGTTTTCAATCTTCACTTTTCAGTTAAAGAAGATCGAACATAGCATTGAATTTCTCAAAGCAAGGCCAAAGCCTCTGGTTATTTACGCGTTCACAAAAAATGAGAAGCTGAAGGAAAGAATCGTGGAAGAGACATCATCTGGGAGTGTTACCTTTAATGATGCAGTCATACAAGTATGCCCCCTTTTTACTTGAATGTTTCAATAGCCACCTAGCGTAAGATTTTGTTATGATATATGAGATTAAACAAAGTTCAAAGTTCAAGAATTAATATTTATCTTGGAATAATTATATATTTGTTGTGTGTCTGAAGCTTCGTGGTGATAGAGTGATAATTTAATGACTTGGCGTGGCACAAAGGTTTATCTCATATAGAAAAATAAAAAGTTGCGGGAGGGGACACCAAAATTTTTTTGTTGACAAATCTTGGAGAATCTTGGAAAGAGAAAAAATAATGCAGCCCAGACCAGTTAAAGTAGTCCTCTGTGTAATTGTAAGTATATATCCACTCCTCTCCTAATTTAGAGAAGATGAAATTACAAATATGATAATTACATATGTTCAATTACAACCTTTGTAGTTTATGGTTATAATAGCAATAGCTGGTCACAAGGGTATAGTTAAATGCTACAGGGGTAGTAGTTGGCCATAAGGGCAGTTGTTTGTGCCTGCAATAGTAGCAAATTGCCATAGAGGTTGTAATTGAAAAATTTAACAATACTAGTCGGCCACAAAAATCAAAGTTGGTTTCCACAAAGGCTATGGTTGGGTATAAAGGCTATAGTCGGTGGCAGCAATTGCGAAAGTTGAGCATAGGGGGCGTAATTGGAAACCGTGACAATAGTAATTGTCATAAATTTTATAGTTGGTTGCCACAAAAACAATAGTTGGCCATAAAACAACAGCTCGCCACAAAAATTGTGCTTGATGCAATTTGTCAGTTGGCCATAAAGATAGTGGCTGGTGACTGCAATAGCATTGGTTGACCACAGATGTTATATTTAATGATTGTAATACAATCAATTAGTCATAGAGTCCATACTTGAATGATATAACAGTAGCAGTTGGACACAAAAACTGTAGTCGATGACTGCAAGAGAGACAGTTGGCTATAGAGACCATGATTGGAAGCTGTAATTGTAGTAATTAGCCACATAAGTCGTAGTCGATGAATGCAATATCGTTGTTTGGTCACATAGGCTGATATTAGAAGTATTAATATCATAAGTTAGCCACAGAAGTCGTTGTTAGTGACTGCAATAACATAAACTGGCCGCAGAAGCTTAAGTTGGAAGTTGTAATGGCATAAGTTGGCCAAAGAAGTTGTAGTCGGTGACTGCAATATTATGTGTTGGCCACATATGTCGAAGTAGAAAGCTGTAATACTGTTAGTTGGCCACAAAGGTGTAGTTGATGATTGCAATAGCATCAGTTAGCCACAGAGACCGTAGTCAGAAAATTTAATAGCTGTATTTGGCCACATTGACCCTAATTGGTGACTGCAATATTGTCAGTTGGCCATATTAGTAGTCGGTCACATAGATCGTCAATAGTGACTGCAATATCGTCAGTTGATCATACAGATTAGTGTTGAAAGTTATAATAGCATCACTTGACCACAGTTTCTAATTGATTGTTGCAATAGCGTCAGTTGGTCACATAGGCCGAAGTTCAAAGCTATAATAATATTAGTTGGTCATAATTGGTCACATAGGCCGAAATTGGAAGTTGTAATAACGTCAATTGGCCACAGAGTCTTTAGTTTGTGACAACAATAGTATTAGTTGACTACAGAGGTCATAGTTAGAAGTTGTAACAGTAATAATTGACTACATCGTATGTATTTAGTAACTTCAATATTTTCAAATAAGTTGGAAGCTATAATAACATCAGTTGGAAGTTTTATACCGAACACTGCACTTGCATTTATACAATGCAAAAGAATACAGTTGTTAGGAACAATCTCCATATTCTGGCTACGAAGTTCATAAGCAGTGGTCGTCGATAGCCGGAGTTCAGCACCATCAATTGATGACGGTCGGTAGTTGTTGACGGATGGCTATAGATGGCGAAAGTTATCGTCGAGTCTTCAGATAAGTTTTATATATTATCTCCATATTTGGGATATGATGTTTTGAAAATAGGAGTGGTCGGTGGTCGTCATTGACAGCGGTGATGGTTGGCAGTGGTCAATGGTGGCTGACGGTTGGTGGTCAATGGTAGTCCGTAGTTGTGGAGGTCTGGCGATAGGACCTGGATTCCATTGAAGAATTTTCTCCCCCTTCAAGCTCCTAGGGCACATGTAAAAGCTGAGGTTCATCCCTCTTGTTTGGACATTTGCTGATGGGTACCTCGCTGAGTTGAATCTAACATCTGGAATACTCCTCGTAATATTCTAGGCATGGCACATAATGACTCCTATTCAGACATATTGGGAATTTGAATATCTGCATTTCCCTTATTTGTGGTTACCCTATATCTGATATCAGCCCCTCAAACTCATAACCCTTATAGATATTCAAGGTCGGTCCTGTTAATATTCCTCTCTAAGTCTGCAAAATGCTTGACTGACCACTACCTCAGAGTCACCACGTTCTCGAGAAGCGACTGTTATCTTAAATCTCTATCTCGGGGTCAAATGGAATTGGTGGTCTTTGCCTTATTGGTTGTAGTGAAGAATCTTCTTTGATGTCTTCATGTTCTCTCAGCCCAACTATGTCATGCCCAATTTTTCAACAACATCCTGTCAGTGAAACAGATATTTCCCCTGGCTATGCATTATGATTTCACATGCGCAAATCCTTGACACTTGCAACAATTCCTGGCTAAGACAGATTCATGATGTGACCTAATCTCACCAGTTTTCTACTTTGAATCAGTTTATCCTTTGACGAGGTCGTATTGAGTGTTCCCCTGGTGCACTCCTGTTTTAAGATCCTGGGGTTGACTTCTAACTGTAAGATGTGGGGGTCGCTCGGTGGTGTAGTCCCTCCACTTCTGAAGCTAGACTCTAAAATTTCTGTCTGAGGTAAGCCAGTAGGAATGGGCACTGTGTCTCCCGCTTCATCTTCAGATTCTCTCGTTCTCCTTTTTAACTCTCTAGATCATGATTGAGGGTAATCTCCCATTGGATTTCATCCTCAATGTCTGTAAGCCTCCACCGAAGCAGATAGATCTCCCGTCGTATCTCTTCCCACAAAGGTTTGGGCATGTATCTACTTGGTGACATGATTAGAATTTTAGGTTGGGAGGTGAAAGGTGTAGGAGACTCACTGAAGGTTTAGGAAAAGTTATTTATGGTTGTTGATTTCGAAAATCAGGAGGGAGTTAGGGTTTGATAAAAAATTTTGGCTGAAGTTTGGGAATAAGAAAGAAAATTTTTTGGTGGAGGTGGCTTTGGTAGGAGCGGATGCTAGGAAAGCTTAGGATGGGACTAGGCTTAGGCTTAGCTCTGATATCAAATGATACCGGGGGAAACCCAAAACATAATAGAAATGTGAATGTTATTACTGAAATTTAAAAGATTACAAACAAGGACTCTTGACATTTGGAAAATAACGACACAAACATAAAAGATATCCTACGGCGAAGACGAAGATGAAGTCGAAGAAGGTAGCAAACACCGAACAACAAGGGGGATGATTGGTTGGGGATGCGACAGATATGGATGGTGGTGCTGGAAGGGGTTACCGTACAATAGGGATGGGGGGAGAGAAGGTTACGATAGCAGCCTTTGGAGTTGGGGAGGGTCACGACAGCAGATTTGGGAGTTAGTGCTGGGTACGGCATGACCTTAGGAATGGGGGAGGGTTACGACAGGAGCCTTGGAAGGGTGAAAGGGCCAGAGCAACAGTTCTGCGAGTTAGGTCTGGTTATGGCAGCAGATTTGGGAGTTGGGGAGGGTTATTGTAGCCACCTTGGCAATGGAGGAGTGTTACGGTTGCAGATTTGAGAGTGGTGGAGGTTACGGTACAGCTTTAGGAGTTGGAGAGGGTTATCTTTGGTAGTGGGAGAGGGTCATGGCAGCAATTTTAGGAGTTAGAGCTAGTTATGGCAGCAGTTTTGGGAGTTGGGGAGGGTTATGGCAGCCACATTGGGAATGGGGGTGCAAGGAAAATCAACAAATAAGTAGAGGAGGTGGATGTTGGAGGGGATAAATCACCATGGGGGAGAGGGATACATTCGGGGCACTAGCCTAACTATCGAATACAATCGTGAAATGGGAGAAGCGGACGTCGGCGGTTGTCCATACAAAACCTGAAATAAACGCTTAATAATCTAACACTATGTCACGACCTGGCATAAGACTTGGAAGTAACCAAGACGGCAGCTATCGGTCGGACAGTGTGAATTATGTTTTTCATATTTATCTGCAATTTAACAGATGAAAGAGCTACTATAAATTAAATTAAAGTGGTACAATTAAATTACTCATTCTTAGTTGTCCGTGTTTTCTGTTAACGGTTTTTTATATATCGCTCATCTTTTAATAATTTAATTAAATCTAAAAAATTAGTTAAAATAACTCTGAGCTAAACGAGATACTTCTAAACTACAACAATGTAAGGAAGAGAGAGAACAATATGCATGTCAGTTAAGCTTTTTTATAAATCAATATAAAGATTTAACATGATATTCAAAGTGTCTATATAATTATCATTTTATATTTATACAATCGTTACAAGAGATAAAGTCTAAAAAATCACTTAAGGTACTTTAATATCAATATTTTATCAATATTCTTTTCTATTTATGTGCACGGGTACATTAGTGTTCCCCCACTAGTACTATCAATAGGTGTTTTATCATAACCAAGCATGCACATGCAAATATACTATAATGAAAAGAGGGTGGAGGAGGTCGGTTCAACCCCTACCCCTGGCTGAATCGGTGAGGAGATCGGTTCAACCCCTACCCCTTGCTGAATCGGGTTGAACCGATTTAGCCCCCCAGCCTCCGCGTCAACGTGCTATGGAATTTCTCTTCTTCCTCACTCTCCAAATGAGAAGGGGGGTCTATTTATCGGCTTTTGGATAGGGGCATTTTGTAACTTGACTACCTGATCGGATGGCATTTTGGTCATTTAGCGTGTAACTTAACTACCTGATCAGACGGTCCATAATGATCGCTCTTAATCTAGATGGTTTATTGATGATTTAAATAATTTATGACCTCAAAATTTAGCAATTTTGAGCTTGTTAGATTCTTCTCATTTTGAGCTTGTTGAATTCCTCTCATTGAGACGTTCGATTTAACTATAAATACATTTAAACTTAAAGTTCATTTGATCATTCAATCGACAGTTCAAAGCCTCAAAATGTGTTGTAATGCCTTGATCTAGCCTTGATTGGACCTGAATTGAACCATTTTTTATATCATTGTGTTTGTCTTGTCGAGACTGTTAGTTTGAGTATAAACTTGTTGAATAAAAAATGCCTCTAGATTCGTACTGATAAAAATTTTGTTGACGACACATCTGTATTAGTATTCCATTCAAATTTGTTTGTGGATAGACTAATAGGACAAGATAACTCGGGACAAAGATATTAATGGAGGGTATGGGAATTAGGAAGTGTGAAGCTAGGCTTGGTTCACGAAATCCTCTCTTTGGACCTTTGACTTCCTTTATGTATTTGGCGGGTGCTAAACTACGAATAGGTTGAATGTCAAGTTGGTTGATGTCGGATTAGCTGTGGATAAGGCCTGAATGAGCTGTCGGGCAAACTCGTAGTCATGCCATTTGACGAACACCCATTTTAATCTCCCAGGTTGCGAATTATCGTGGGCTTGGAACAAATTGCTGAATTGTAGGAGTCGTCTGATCTTACCATGCCAAACTGCATGGGCGGAATTGTGCCGGGTTTACCAATAGGTGGGCTCTGCAGGTCGACATATCTGACTTGACATTGCTAGCTCTTTTGGGTCTACAACAATTGCTTGATTTGTTTCCATTGATTCAAGCTTGCATTGGCTTGGTGTTTGATGACTAGTGCTGTGATTTCATTTAGATCTCTTTCAGAATCATATTGGTTTCATTTAGGTCGGAATAGTAAGCCCATATAAAAGGCTGAAAAATATTTTTACTCTTTGTAAGTAATAGTTTCTCAGCTATTTACTAAAAACATAGCTCGCAAATAATTTTGACCACCAGTAACATGTCAACTTCAAATTGCCTGCTACCAAAAATCTTATGCAAGACTTTCGTTAAGCTGTTGTTACATACTCGACTATGATATAAGCTATTCTGCCCTATCAGGAGACAATTTTGTTGGTCAAATATACTATGTGATGAATCAATTTTTTATTCGTGTAGGCCTACAACTTTTTATTTTTATGTTAAACTTCTGTTATTGTTTTAGAAGTTATAATATTGGTCTGTTTGTATCCATATAACCTAGCCGTATGCATGTATTTTATGATTATATTCCACACTTGCAGATCACAATACACTTTCTAGTGAGATTTATAAAGATTCCAATCTCAAACATATTCTTTATGACCCCTGCTATTATGTAAAATCTATCAATCTCCATGAAAGAATAATGATAATAATTTACCAGTTTCAAATAGGGCTGTCAAAATGGCTCGTTGTTCGCGAACAACTCGTTTTGGCTCGAAATATTACTAATCAATTATATATATATAAAGATTTATAATCCATTAAAATTATTAAATAAAAAATAGAACAAAAATATATTAAATTGTATTTAAGTGACATTTTAACATAAATAATAAGATTTAAATCTTGCCCCAACACCTACCATCTTACGGTTGCATGATTATGGTTGCCAAAACGATTCTTTGTTCGCGAACAGCTCGTGTTCGACTCGCTAAACAAATGAGTCGAATACATAGACACTTTTTGTGTTCAAAATATAAACGATACACACTTTTTGAGCAAGAAATATTAACGAGCCGAACACGAGCTGAGCCTGGGCTCGCTCCTGTTCGGCTCGTTTACACCCCTAGTTTCAAAGAATTTAATTGAGCTTGTATTTTTGCAGTTTGCGTTGGACACACTGCCTTTTGGAGGAACTGGTCAGAGCGGATTCGGAAAGTACCATGGCAAGTTCTCCTTCGATCAATTCAGCCACCAAAAAGCCATCATGAGAAGAAGCTTTTACATGGAATTTTCGTTCAGATACCCGCCATGGAATGAGAGGAAGCTCCAATTCATCAGATATGTTTACAGCTACAATTACGTTGGGATCCTGCTTCTCTTCCTAGGACTAAAAAGATACAGTTCTGCATAATTTCTTCTCTTTGCATTCTCTGCATCATATTAGTTCGGGAAAAGAAATTTTACTTTCATGCCACACGATTTCTATCTATTTGTTTATCTAATACCAAACATTTGATGTTTACATTTATAATATTTTGATGGCATAATAAGTTTATATATAAAATGAAGTGTTTCACTTTTTTTTTTTTAATTAAAGATTTGCATGTTCTGCATATAAAAAAGAAAGTTCAGGCTTTAGACATGTAAATTCATAAAAGTACTGTGGTATGTATGTAAACAACTTTGTTATAATTGCTTTACGGTGAATTGATTAATGTGTAAATTAAACGATTAATGAGTTGATTGGTGAATTAGTTAAGTTTATTAGGATGTTAATAGGTTAAGGTGTGAGTTTGGTAGCTATAGGTTTTGGTTTGGGTGTTTTCAAGTGAATTGGGTTAACCTAGGCTCGGGTTAGGGGGTTTAGTAGATTAGGCTCATGGTTTGGGGGGATTTAGTGGATTAGGCTCACGATAATGTGGGTTTAGTGGATTAGGCTCACGGTTTGGGGGATTTAGTTTTTTAGGGTTGAGATTAGTGCATGTTTAGTGGATTAGAGTTGATATTAGTGTGTGTTTAGTGGATTAGAATTTCATTTAGGGTGTGATTAGTGGTTTTAAGTTTGGATTAGGGTGTGATTAGTGGTTTAGGCTCTGGTTTTGGATGGGGAAAGGGAGGGAGGTATCGATCAAGGTAAAAATGAAGGGGAAAAAAGTGGTAATCACCTAATACAAGACCTTGGGGAAGACTGAACCTCAACGGCTTACCAAGCTTCAACGAAGGGCTGAGATTCTTCAGACGATCGATTCTGCCATCCTCGATGGAGGCATGGCCACCTCCGTCCGCCAAAAGCTCCACATCTTGTGAGCGACCGATTTCAGGGTACATCCGAACCTGGATTAAAGAAATGTCAGGAAAATTTTGAATAAAAAATGAAATATGAAGATAAACCCTAATACCCAAAAATCAAAGAATTTCAAATAAGGTAGGCTTACCAAGGAGCACTGGCGAGATCGGCGGGAACTCCCAAGAAGCAGCTTGAGCGGCCTGTTTAGCAAGCAGGTCGAACATCATAACCGATGGAGCAGGAGCAACAAAGGTCGCAGCGAGATAAGCGACCAAATCAGCTATCAGCTCGTCTGGTTAGGCATCTTTCAGTGCAGAATCCAAGAAGGAATCAGATGGCCACACCTGGTCCGACATCGGAGATCTCTTTCTCTTCACAAAGACCTTCCTCATGTTCGATCTCAGCCTTTCACCTTGCTGGAAATTGAGAGAATCCAGTCTTTTTCAGGCGGTGACCGGTGTACTGTGCAGATTTGGAAAGACGTCCATCCTCCTATTTATAAAGTTCAGCATTCATGAAATCAAGAGAGTCAATCATTAATATATTTTTTACATTTAATTTTCTAATTATTATCATAATTATCTTTCAAGAATAAAAAGAATCAAAAAACTAAAATATACATATAAAAAAAATATTAGCACAGTTCTCATAAGAAGCTGTATGTTATTCAATGGGACGTCATTTTTTTGCGCGATGTTAGGAACTTGTCTTCAACTTCTTTGTTAGCATGTACAATAGTGTTTTAATTTTATCAATTTTTATAGTTACGAATATTTTTTTTTTGTTTCACATTGCTTTTTATTTCACATAGGTTTCTATAAGAAACTAATGTATCATGGTAGTCATCACTTTTATTAAATGAGTGTTCTTTAGAAGCTTTCCTCTCACTATGGAACACAAATTAAGATAAACAATTTAGGAATATATGTGCATGGAATACAATGCATTTGAAGCTACATAGAACTTTTTCAAAAAGGCCTAAACTGCCTAATGAGAGCTTGGAATGTTAGTGGTCTTCGTACCCCCTCATCACCTGGAAGTTCTAGCAGCTTCATATGCATTTTTTTCATAGCATATATCATGATAGTCAACGCTTTTATTAAATAAGTGCTCTATAGAACCTTTCCTCTCAGTATGGTAACACAAATTAAAATAGTTTATTTAGGGCTATATGCTCTTTACGAATCACAGATGATTTCTCCTTATGTTGGTGGTCATAACCATCTGGTTCAAGTGTCTCAGTTGATAACGTTGAATGAGTTGAAGAGAAAATTATTACGTGTACTACATCTTGAGAGTTCACAACTTATCGTAAAGATAGTTTGTTGACTGCTTCTGAGTGACAGTTTTACTGCGACTTATGTTGATGACGATGAAGCATGTGAATTCATGTTGTTAGAAACAACAAAACATGTAATAGTGATTTATGCTGAAGTAGAAGCCTTACCTACTGAGGATACGGACATTGCTGCCCCCCCCTCACCGTTGGGCCTTCTCACGTCGTTGGTCCTGAACAAGTGGCCGAAATTTGTAGGTACAAGTAATATAACTATTGTGATTACATAATTTTTAGAGATATCTAACGGAAAAAAAAAATAATTTTATAACTCCACTTTATAGGCCAACTCCAATTTCATTCAATATGTATGACACTAGGTTCAAAAATATACCCGACCCACCAACAATTGATTATGGTGTACGTCAGTCATTTGATCTCTCACATTCATTTCAATCATATGTTAGTAGAAATGTAGAGCCTTTCACGCAAGAAGAATCACAAGGTGTCCACTTGGTTGTTAACCCAGACGATTATGAAACCATGGATAGTGGCACTAGTGAGAATTCGAGCGAACCAGAAGAAAACGAGGATCTTAGTGAGCAAGATACTGATCTGAATAATGTATTGTCGGGACATGATTTAATATGTCAACATGCGTAATTAAATATGCAAATGCTGGATGACATGGTTGAGAACAGTCAGTTTGTGAGGCCTATTTGTACGACTGAAGAGTGGGATGCGGTTGATGATTGTGATGCCCCTATAAATCACACCCCTTTCATGAAGATGTTATCATTCCAAATTTATTAATGGAGGGAATGATATTTTCAAGTAAGGATGCACTGCAATTTGCATTGAGTGGTTGATCAATATTGAACAATGTAGAGTACATGAAAACTACTTCAAACAAAAGAAAAAGACTTACAATTCAGTATAAACAATTTAATCATGAGATTCGTTCATATCAGTAGTGTCTGCATGCATCTAGAAACCAACGATCAGGGGGTAGGTGGAAAATTTCTATAATTGGGCCAGCACTCACATGCTAATGGAATGAAGAGAGGCTACGTACATAGCCCTCTGGAAATGCAAGTATGTATAGAGATGAACTTGACGGACTCAGACAGAGTCAGATTTAATACTAAACCTTTCTATTCAATCCCACCTTCCTCTCATTCTTTTATCCTAAATATAATTAAATTGAAAACTTCTTATGTAGGTTAATTGGTTGACATATTTAGATTTATATATAGCTTTGTTACATAACATATGTGTACAAAACATTTATATTTGGACTGTCACATTCCAATAATTTTTTGAAAGCATGTCAAGCGACACCTTCAAAATCATGTTTTGCGGCAATTTTCAAGCATTCAACATATATTTATTTAGCCAATAATACAAAGCCTTAAAAGAGTCAATGGGTGAGGTAAGATTGAAGTTGATTGGATGCAGTATTACCGGAGATATATCGAGATGTGGAATAACCATTGCACATATATGTTCAATTAAACCAGTCAGAAGGAGACGGATAACAAGAACTAGCCTATTATTTGCAATGGTACCAATTTTGGGCATCTCTCTACCTAGTGCAGCCCACTGCTTAACTGCCATACTCATATTTCCCCCGATCACCAGGAGAGAGAATAGTGGTATGTGTTTAGTATATTTAATTGTTGTTATTAATTACTTTTATTATGATACCTAATAATAGATGTAGTTTTTCAATTGTACAGTTGGATTAGTATATTCTTAGTAAAGATATTGCAGAACAGTTTGGAAGGGAGCGCGGTGGAAGTGCTAGCTCAATGAAACAAGAATACGATGAGAAATTGGAGCTATCACGTAGAGTGGAATGATCCATCCACATTGGTTATAACGTATTTGATTAGCCTGTGAGACATGATTTCGAGTCCGAACCATCTCACAGAACAGATGTTAGACCATCTGGCCTCCGTAGATCAACTTCTAATGTTCCACATCGGTTAGGTACCACAGTCGCGAGAAGATCGGTAGCAGATGCTCCAGGGAAATCTTTAGTTTCCCTAGCACGTAGATTAGATGCTCCAAGGAGATCTCCCTTGAATGTGTCGCAAGAACAACAATATCTTCAATCATCTGCTTTTCTTGGCTATTCAACATTTATCGGCCTCTCCAGCTATCCAACTTTGCATGGTCCTACAGATATGAAAGACTTAGCGGCTATACAAGATCCGCCAGCTCTGTAGGTTCTATTGGATGTGAAGGATCGTCGACTTATGAGGGTCTATCATATGATTTACAGTAAACAACATTTATTGAAGGAGATCTAGATTTAAATTTTAAGAGAATTCCCATGATTGTGCCTACATCTGATGTAAGGCTACTTTTCGACACACCTTCAATTTCTACACCGCCAGTACCCATAAATGAAAAGAGTTATTATGGGTTCAACAAGCTACGAATGAGACAACTGAAGATAATGTTGTTGAAGAAGAATTTGAAAACTGTCGGTTGCAAGAACAATCATTGTGATCGCCTTCTTGATATACACTGGGTTCGGGGGTTATTTCATGTCGGCGAAGAACATAATTTTATTATGAAAGCATTGTTTTTGTTATAATATTTTATTGTAAAATAATTTGCTTTTAATTTATTTCATAATTTATTCTCATTTTATTCATGTATACTTTTTACTTAATTTGAAACTCTCTAAAGAAAAAAAATGGTAAAATTTATTATTTATTTGTGATAAAAATATTATATAAAATATTTTTACTATTAATTTATAATATCATATATTATTTACTATATATATATATATATATATATATATATATATAAAAATAAAACAAAAAGAAACAACTAATCATAGAGGGTGTAGTCGGGGGGTCCACCGCTTTTTGAAATGGAGCTCCTCCCCATATTCCCTCCTCAAAATTTCACCTTATATCTTTGGATTTCTATTCCATATATATCTATATTTTTAAAAATCTGGGGAGCAAACCTAAAAACGACAAGCGGGTCCATCTGACATCCACTCCAAAGGCTCGTGAACCAAAGCATGCTACTTGCACTGTGATGACCAAGCAAGCAGTCATTCCTCATTAAAACCTTTTATTTTTCATCCCTCTTCAAATTATTCCATTTCAAGAGAAAAAGGAAACCAAGCTCTTACCCCGATCACTTCCCCTCCGTCGTACCGCCCTAAATGTCCCTCACTTCTCTCACCACCACCATGAAAATCCTCGCCTCTTCCCTCACCCTCATCCTCCTCCACTCCACGGTGGCGGAATCCAACACCTTCCCCGGCGACATCGCCGCCCTCAAATCATTTCTCGCCGCCCTCGATCCCGCCTCCATCCCCCCCGGCTCTTGCCTCGCCTCCTGGGACTTCAAACTCGACCCCTGCTCTTCTGCATTTAGCACCCACTTCACTTGCGGCCTCCGCTGCGACGCCACCTCCTCCGACTCCACCAGCCTCACCTTCTCCCGCATCACCGACCTCTCCCTCGACTCCATCGGCTACTCCGGCCCCCTCTCCCCTTCCATCTGGTCCCTCCCCTTCCTCCAATCCCTTGATCTCTCCAACAATCGCTTCTACGGACCCATCCCTTCTCCTCTCCCCATCTCCTCCCTCCCCCCTCTTCTCCGCCGCATTTCGCTCTCCCACAACTCTCTCTCCGGCTCTATCCCATCCTTTTCCGCCTCCCCTTCCCTCGAAGAGCTCTACCTAGACGGCAATCGCCTTTCTGGCCCCTTCATTTCCACATCCTTCCCCTCCCTCCGTCGCCTCGATCTTCAATCCAACAACTTCTCCGGCTCATTCCCCGACCTCCGCTCCCTCTCCAACCTCAACTTCCTCGACTTAAGCGACAACTCATTCTCCGGCCCTTTCCCCCCCGACTCCCTCCCTTCCTCTCTCTTCGAGCTATCAATGCGCAACAATCTCCTCACCGGTAACCTACCAGGCTCACTTCTCGCCTCTCTGCCACTCTTACAGGTTCTCGATCTCAGCCATAATGCCCTCTCTGGTCCAGTCCCATCGGCGGCCTTTGAACACCCCGCACTGGAGCAGCTGGCGCTGTCCGGAAACGCGTTCGAATGGGTGGAGGAACCGGACGAAATCATCGCTAGCAGCAACATGGTGGCGCTCGATCTCAGCCACAACGAAATCAGCGGATTGTTGCCGGAGTTCGTCGGCTCCATGCCGCAGCTCACGGCGGTCGTTCTGGAGGATAACCGATTCACCGGACTGATTCCGACGCAATACGCAATGCGGGCGGCTGGCATCCCCGGCGCTTGGGTTGCTTTTGAGCGGCTGCTGCTGGGTGGGAACTATTTATACGGGCCGATACCGGGGCTGATGCAGGGGATGAAGAATGGAGCGGCGGCGGTGGTCAGCCTCGCCGACAACTGCCTGTTTCGTTGCCCAGAATATTTGTATTTCTGCGCTGGAAGGGAGCAGAAGCCTGCTGTTGTTTGTCGGGATTTCAACCCCATGATCCCGTGATGGAGACTGTAAGGTAAGATTGTTATGGCTTAATTATGATGGAGATCTACCTCTTCTGTGTGGTGCTGTTTAATTATTCTCTGTATGCAGCGTGTGGTTGATAGACGGGAAAGAGGGATGGGGGGAAGATGACGAGTGTTGCAATTTTGGCGTTCTGGTTTAATGCCAGTTGCAGGATTGGCTGTCCGATAGGATATGTATATTTATAAAATTGCATTTTTTTAATAATATGAGACATTATTTCACGTTACAAGATAAATAAAAAATAATAATAGTAGTAATGATGATAAATTTCTTAGCATAAGAGTTTATTGCAACATTTCCCCCTTCACATACTATCAATTCCTTCCTTTTCCTCTTACTAGTAAGATTTTGTTATAACTTCTAATCTTTTCTTTGTCATTTGATTCACATGCTACTATTCTTGTTGATGTCCTTCGCTAGTCGAATCTTACTTTTTTGTTTTTTTCATTGTTTATGGTTTCATGATTTTGAGAAAAAAGTAACATGAGAAAAGAGATTGTGTGAGATGGAGATTAATAAAGTAACTTTTTAATAAATTGAAAATTTTAGATAGGGTAATCACATACGCACCACCCAAGTTTTATGTTGTTTACATATTTAACACTTAAATTTTTGTGTTTTTATTCATCACTCAAAATTTTCATATCACATCAAAAGTGTAGCTATTGTCGAATCCTTTTAGGATGTAGGGTCTCGTAATATCCATGAGTTGTGATCAAATCATTTTAGCATTAAGTATGAGAGGGAGAAAAAGGACCAGGGGTCAGCCCGTGGGAAGAGAGAGCCTTGCTTCTCATTTTTCTTGTTTTTGCATTTTTTTCTCCAATTTATACTTCTAGGGATATCCTTTTATCATGATATAAAAAATTATTTTAAGATAGATAACGTTAAGTCATATTCAACGGCTTTATATTATTTTTTGCAGTTTTATGTTATGTATTGTAGTTTTTTGTCATGTATGACAATTTTATATTATATCCTAACATATAATTATACTTGACAGTTCGATAATTTAATAGTTGGACGGTTCGACATTTAGGCAATTTGACCAATTCCCTAGCTAAACTCTTCAACTAATTCACTTGCTAGACAGTTCGACCTGTTCTCCAGCTAGGCAACTTAACCAATTTTGCTAGGCACTTCAATCAATTATGGTAGGCAATTCAACCAGTTATATAACTAGACAGTTCAACTCATACTTATAGGTAGTTGAACCATTTCGACAATCTGTCAGTTTAGTATTTTGGCAGTTTGATATGTTCTTCAGCTAGATAGTTCAACCAATTTTCTAGTTATAAAGTTCAATCAATTTTATATCTAGGCGGTTTGATTAGTTCTTTAGTTAGGTAGTTTAACTAGTTCTTTTGCTAGACAATTCAATCAGCTCTGCTACTAAGCAGCTTAACTGGTTCTTCAACTAGATAATTTAATACTTCGATAGTTAGGCAATTTGATAGCTTGGCAAACGACAATTTGGTAGCTGAACATTTAGGTAATTGGGCCATTCAACAATTCGGAACTAGATAGTTCAATAGCATGGCAATTTAGCAATTCAACAGAGCTAAACTTCTTGACAATTGGGAAATCCGATAATTTGCAGTTGGGCAGCTCATACTGTCTTTTTAGTTGTATCATATAGTTCTCTTATTTATTTGAAAAACAAGTGTGAAAAGAGTAAGAGAATGAAAAACATGAAACTATACATTGCTCGTCTCTATAAGGCAAGCATATATCTCATTTATCCAAAAAAATGAATTCAGTTATAGGAATTAAACTATTTTGATAAAAACGAGTATTGTATTTCATCATGTATGAATTATTCATCTATTTGTGGGCTCTTATAACTCTACAGAGAATCATTCTGGGTGCACTTTAGCTGAACCTACGGAATTCCATTCTAAAGACATTATGGCTCACCTTCAAATACATTATAGTTAACTCAACGGTCTTATAGGGAGAGTTCCTTGAGCATTTCCAATAAGAAATAGATTTTGTCCTTTTTTTGGCGAGTATATGTACTGCTTTGTTATAATATAACTTAATTAGAAAAGAATTAAAATATATTTGTTAAACTCGAACTATTCTTCACCCGAGGGCACTTTGGCTACACTTGCAGGGACTAGTCATTGTAATTTTTCAATTCTATCTAGTGTGAGATCTCGTGATCTTAAATCCCTAGGTTAACTAACTCCGACCTTTTTTCAATCGAGTTATATTTCAAAAAAACAAGCTTTTCCAAAGTTTTCTTTAACATTTGGATATTGAGCCGAGTATGGTCAAAAAGGCTGGACAATTTTATTCTCTTATAAAACTTGCTTATGAGGGACAAGTTCTTTAATTTAAAATATGATAGAACTAAAAAATTATATAGAATAAATTAGAGATAATAGAGTTTAAATGATGTGCAAATGAAATATTTAATGACTGTCTTATTTCATATGGTGAAGATTGCTCTAATGTGATTTTTGTTCTCTCTGGATGTGTTTATGTTTACCTTCAGATTTAAGACATACATCCATGCTCACCGTACTTTTCAGAATATTGAATTCTTTTAGGATGTAGAATCCTGTAATGTTCGTGAGTTATGCCTAAATCCTATTAGCATTGATCAAAAAAGAGAAAAAGAGATATGAGGAGCAGCTCGTGGGAAAATAGAGAGCCCTGGTTCACCATCTTCCTTTTTTTTTACATTTTTTTCTTTTATTTATAAGCCCTTGAATGTTCTTTTATCATGATAAAAAAAAATATATATAAATATATACAACGTGAAGTCGCATTCAATAGTTTTATTTCATTTCTAACAGCTTTATAGCATGTACGATAGTTTTTTAAATGCCCGGCAGCTTTATGTCATGTCTTACAACTTTATATCATGTCCAGCTATGTAGTTGAACTTGATATTTCAACAATTTTTTTTTCCTTTATTTATAAGCTCTTGGATGTCCTTTTATCATGATAAAAAAAATTATATAAAATATACATAATATTAAGTCATATCCAATAAGTTTATGTAATTTATAAAATTTTTATATACAATATTTATTTTTAATGTCCGAAGTTTTATGTCATGTCTTATAGCTTTATGTCATATCCCACCATGTAGTTGAACTTTATAATTTTAACAGTTTGGCAATATGATAGTTGGATGGTTTGATAGTTCTTATGCTAGTCAATTTGACCACTTATTTAGCTAAGCAGTTGAACCAGTTCTCCTGCTAGGCAACTCAAATAGTTTTATAGCTGGGCAGTTCGACAAGTTTTCCTGGTAGGTAGTTCAACCAGTTCTACAGCTAAACAGTTCAACCACTTTGGCAGTTAGACAGTTTGTGTTTACCAATTTGGCAGTTAGGCAATTTGCTATTTCTCTAGTTATAATCAGAGGGGTGCAAACGAACCAAACACGAGCGAGCCCAGGTTCAGCTTGTGTTCGACTCGCTAAAAAATACCGTTGTTTGTGTTCGGTTGGTTTATATTGCAAACAAAAAAGTGTGTTCATGTTCGGCTTGTTTGCTTACAGAGCCGAACACGAGCCGTTTGCAAACAAAAATTCATTTTGACAACCCTAATCACATATTCGTAGGATGTTAAGGGTTAAAGTAATATTTAAATCTTATTGTTTATATTAAAACATTATTTAAAGATAATTTAATATATTTTTATTATATTTCTTAATTAATAATTTTAATTGATTATAAATTTTTGTAGCCTTGTAGTCGATTAAATTTTTTATATATAATTGATGAGTAGTATTTCGAGTCGAACACAAACAAATAAATCTTTGTTGGTGTTCGACTCGTTAACTTAGCGAACGAATCGAACACGAGCTTCTTAACGAACCAAAAATGAACTGCTCGCCAACAATGAGCCCTTTTGACAGCCCTAATAATCAATTTAATCAGCTCTTCAGCTAGGCAGCTTAATCAATTCTCCAGCTATGCAATGCAACCAATTCTCTTTGCTAGGCAGTTCAACTAGCTCTCAAGCTAGACAGTTCAATAACTTCAACAGTTAGCCAATTTGACAACTATGGAATTTGATAGCTGAACAGTTTGGCAGTTGGGCACTTCAAAATGCTTTATTTTGGTGTATACAACTACTTTAGCTTCTTAAAAAGTGAAATACATTCTTTCATTAAGAGGTAGGGTGGTGTATATATGAAAATTGATGTTTTGATGTTTTGGTGTTAGATATGTATGTGTGTGTGTGTGTGTGTGTCTCTCTCTCTCTCTCTCTCTCTCTCTCTCTCTCTCTCTCTCTCTCTCTCTCTCTCTCTCTCTCTCTCTCTCTCTCTCTCTCTCTCTCTCTCTCTCTCTCTCTCTCTCTATATATATATATATATAGATTTATGTGTAGATATATGTATACACACACACACACAGATATTATGAGATGGTTGTTACAATCATGGTTTTAAAACTGGATTTACTGAATCAGTCATTCATTTTTTCGGTCCAAGCTCAAAACTATTTCTGCATAAGATTGAGACTGAACCGATCAGAGGAGAACCTGTGAAGTTCAGAGCATTCTCTTTTACTCTTATAAATGACACTTTATCGAATATATTTCAATCATATATAGCTAAATTGCTTTTTAAGCAAAAAGTCCAAAAAAATTTCAAAGAGATGCACTTCAAATTACGTGGTGCTCACCAATCCTGTTCCAAGATGAAAGACGATTAAAAGAATGAGGTACTATTGGCTGACAATGATTACTGATTGCATGGAGACGACACAAAATTATTATCAATGTCAAATATACAATGTAGTTTTACACCAGTTTTCTAACATATTACATCCCACAATTGCTCGTTGCCTTCCAAATGTTGGGGCACAAAAATCATGAGACATGTAGACCCTCCATCATCCAAAGGTCATAGGTTCATAATGTTAATGACTGATTACTTCTCCAACTGGGAATGAGACATTCATCTAAGAGAAATAAAAGCTTATCATGCATTACAATTCTTTAAGAACCACATTGTATATTGATTCGTTGTATCTCAATGAGTTATATTAGATAATAACCCTATACTCAGAAACACCAAAATAAATAAATTTGTGATGTGACACAAAACTTTGTAATAATTAGCCTGTTTATTTTATTTTATTTGATAAATTTACTTTACAAGTGCACAAGTGTTGGTTTTATCTACTTATGGCGTGTTTGGGGCGTCAGTGCGGTGGCAGTATGGTGTCACACTACAATTTTTCTTCTATGATATAAC